TCTGCCACCCTCAAAGTATCAAAGTTCTTCCTCACATTGAGATGAAACTTCCCCAGTTTCAGAAATCTTCCTGGGGTTGAAGATTTGTGGCACGAATGTACAAAGCATCACCTCCTGCTCACATGCAGCAACCCCAGGTCTAGCATACAATCTAGCTCCAGGAATAGCTTTGTCCACCCAAGTAACATCCTCTGGCTTCCACCACACTGACTGTCCTTACGTCAGGTCTGAGCCAAGGTTCCCATGTTCTCCAAGACAGAACAGTATACACAAATGTCCTTCCGTCAGACTTGGGCTACAGAGCAGTAGTTCCCCTCTTTTTTCCCCATGGGGTAAAATAGTGGGTACAAATCCAGCTGCAGACAGCTGAAACCATTCTTTGAAAATTTCTGCTGACTTGTTATGAATTCTAATATTTTTGTATAGCAGTGGTCTGTTTTCAACAGAACTGGGAATTAATCAGCACCCTGAACCTCTGGGTATCTGCAGAATGAGATTACACAAAGCTGCTGTGAAGTTATATTGTAATTTAGATAACTCCAGAGAGATAGATACCAGCACAACATAGGATTAAATTCCAGCTTGAATTCTGAACACAGTTCCTGTCTTTATGGCAGTTTGTACAAAACCCTTGCAGCCAAACTCACCCAAGCCATCTGGGATGGCTGAAATCAATCCTGCAACCTCTCCCCAGTGTGGCCCAATCTGAAATATTCTGAATTGGCTTAGAAAGTTTTCAGAAAAAAATTAACAATACACTTTGGCTGCTCAGAATCCCACCAGTATGCTACATTCCTGTTCTGGAAGGTGAAGAAAAAAAAAAATACTGAAACACACCAGCAACTTCTCTCTGATGCTACAAAAGGGTAGTATAAGCTTCCTAGAGGGTTGTTCCAGTCAAATCTATTGAAACACACACACAGCCAGTTCCCCTACAGGTAGGGAATAAACCATCTCTCCATTTTACCAGTGTCTTGTTCAGATCTAACAGGAAAAAAAATCAGCAAGGTGGCAGGGTTAAGAGTACAGAGACCTTACATGCAACTTTGGCTCCTGCAAGAACACTCCTTGTAGAATCCTATCGTCTACCCTGATGTTCACATCCTATGTACACTAGTGATTAAGTTCTCTGGAGTTGAGAAGACCATGTCAGGGAACACATTCAACCATCACAAGCTGATCCATACCAGCAAAGACCCAAAACAAATCCTCAGGCAGCACCTGTGTCCAGCTGGCAATTCTATTCCCAACAAAGCCAACTGCTCCAAGTAGCACGCAGAGGCTGTGCAGTTCTCTTGTCCATCATATATATATACACACATGGAAAAGAAGTTGAAGAAAGAGTGGAGGAGCCACGCTGTTATACAGAAATCATGGCAGGAATCTGGAGATAGTGATGATACAGGGTTTGTTACTAATTTTACATGCATACATACTGTGGCATGGGAGGCTGGTCTGTGTTTCTGGTAACAGCTGACAGTCTCATTAGTACCTCCAACACAGGGAGAAGTCTGTGTACACTAGTTGTGTAGGAGTCTGTGTACACTAGTTGTATTACACTTGCTCTTTGGACAAAAAGGAATAGTACAGAGGCATCCTCAAGGACTTTGGACTCTCATTAAGTTCATGAGTGGATTTACACTGCTAGTTTGGCTTGGGCCTGGAGACTCGTGCTGCATGAGCAAGGGAAAAAAAACCAACCACCAACCTAAACCACCCAGCAATACAGATCCACCAATCTTTTCTTATACACCACATCTCTAAGGAAAGATTACTTAAATACTAGCTCTTAATGGAGGAGTCCAGGACTTTGCATCTTCTAGCATAGCTGACATAGCAACATTTCTCCAGAAGTTTGTCTCATATCAAAGAAAGGAGGGTAGAAGTGACGAGGGCTCTGTGAAAGCCTGCCATTTGTGGTTATGCTGTAGCCTATTTGCAGCAGGTGTTTCTGAGGGACATTGTGCTGAGATAGTGGTTTTAACATCTATTTTCAGGATCACAGGCCAGCAGCTTTTCTCCAGCAAACATGAGATACTGGTATGCAATATGACCACCCCTTATTTCCATTTCTTTGTAATGTCTGTCTACTCTTGATTCTACCAAAACATGCAGCTAAGCATGCCGTCCAGATTGTGGTTTAAAAGTGACTTTTTCTAGATCAGGCTTCCACAAGCCCAAGTGAAACCTTACACAATGCTCTATAAAAACAAAACCAATGACTTCTCTCCAGCAATATTCACACAAGCACTACCAAATTCACACACCTGTATCATAAGCCACCTTCATTCACAAATCCAAGCACAGATGCCTTGCATAAGTTTGCAATACATCTTTTCCACTGACCTAATTGTGGCAGGACTGCAGCAGCTCAGATGACGTGTTTTGTTGATTTTTTTCACTGTAGCTAATTGTAGCTGTATCACACACTCACAACTGCAGCGAGTCCTTAACATAGCAGTGGGTAAACAAACATCACACAAAACAGCTTGCACAAGAAAGAGGGATGTGTATGCCTTGGAGACAGCTTGCTCACATGTTAACAAGTGCTCTGAAGAAGAATGTTCCAGGCAGTGCTGTATTTCTGCCTAAGCCTCTTAAAGCATCAGTCACCCTTTAAACATTTGATGATAATCCTAATTTAAAGGACTAGGACTCTCCACATGTAAACAGCACTTGCTTTTGCAAACCGTTACTAACCAAATGATATAGTACCCTGTATTTCACAATTTAAAAAAAAATTTCAGCACATTATGTTTACAGTTGTTATAAATCAGTCTGGGAGCAGTGAAGAACTTTTCAGAATAACTGTTGTTTTCTGTGATTCTGTGTCTTCAAGCAAGCCTCTGACATCCCTGCTTTAGGAACACAGATCATCCTCAAGCAAAGTCCATGCAAATCTTAATCTCACTACCAATAAAGAAACTAAATAACAAAATCCAGAATCCTCTAAAAAAAAAAAAGCAGTCTGACTATAATACATAGCCTTGTAGTGGTTGTATTCTGTATCCCCACTTACAAGTTAAGGGAATAAAAATATCTGGTATAACTCTCACAAGGTGACTCTCCTCCCCACAAAAACAACAACAAAATTAAAAAAATATTTTTAACATGGATCTGCTTAGGAAACCAATTTTCAGCTCAGCTTCTCCCTGAAAACTAATCCATTACTGACAGCTTCAGGGCAGGGGGCGTAAAACAAAGGTGAATTAATTTCAAGATAATAAATACTCATATAAGGAAAAAATTAAGGAATTCACAGTGTTCAGCTAGAATAAGTTAATACAAATCCAGGATTGTGTTGTTTTTTTTTAAATACTATTTAACCACGCTCCAAGACTGACGATAACAATCATAACATAAGAAAGGATTTAAGTTTTCTTTTACACATATAACTCCATCTTATAATCTGCAAAGCAGTAGCATGTCAGCTCCACTGTTACTTGTCTACAGATGGTACTTTTATGCTGTATAAAGCACTCAAAAAAGAACCAACCTTAAGGAGAATAGCCACCTCCCTTACCATTTCTTATCAAGAGGACAGTCCAGTCTTTAAAGAAAACCAACAGTGTGCACCACCATGTAATATTATCCCACAATGTGGAGAGTGAATTAGCTGATAACCTTTGGAGCAGCCCAGAATCTGTTAGAACCTGCAGGATAGGATCTCCTGCAGAAGGCTGGAGTTCCGGATCAGCTCAGACAAAAATCGCAGTCTTCCTTCGGTCCTCATACACTTCCTCTGGCAGATGCCTCCTGCTGTCCTTCCCAGCTGGGACACAGTAGCTCTCCCTTTTCTTCCTTGCACCATCTTCCTAGCTTATTCAAGTAATCTCTTCCTTCTCTTTTCCTCAGCTTCTTCACCTTCCTCCTTTCCTCCCACCAATTCTCTGCTTTCTCCAACCTAAACACAGGGTTAAGAACGCTTCTGCACAGGGCTTGCTATACACTACATAGCACAGCCAAATGGCTTGGTCTGGTAGGATGCTGCTAGAGCCCATGCTCTACTCAGCTCAAACTCGTTCCTGCACCATGGCTGTTCTGGTGTGGGAGAGGGATGAACAGTTAGTTACGTGCGAGGAACTTGCTGCTGCACTACTCACCACTGTAGCAGCAGGTTTGCAGTACCAGGCAGAATTCACAGAAGTCTGGCAACCCTGCTACACTGTCACAGATTTCTTGTCATCTCCTGGAGGGATCAGGGATCACAAAATATAACTTGCAGCTTGCTGTTGCAGAGAAAGCCCAAAGCCAAGCTCAGTCAAAAACACATTGCCAGATAAATTTTATTTACAAACATACAAACTTCAGAATTAGTGTGCTGAAAAGCACCAGGACCACAGGCCCTAAAGGCAGTTCATCACCTCTTTTGACGAGTATTGCGAGGACAACTGTCGAAAGTGTTACGAATGCTTCTCTCCTCCTCTCTGAAGAGAGAGCACAGCTGAACATGAACTCCCCATGACAAGTTCTGGATAATCTTGTATCCTCCAACATGAGACAAGCTGCTGGCTACACTGAAGTTTTGCTGTGAAGTGTCCAGAGCTCTTGGCCTAGCACTGCTTTATTGTAACAGTCCTCAGCTAGCAGACTCCATTCTCATCAGGAATACAAACCATCCTGTCAGGGAAGTTGATACTATCTCCTCCAGGTGGGAGGAAAAATACTTCACAAGGGACACACAAAAAGTGGGGAGTGGAAAAAAATAGAACCCATCTTCCCTCCAGTATGACACCCCAAAGCCAACAGTCTCAATATCCTATGCTAAAATTATGTTCTTTTCTTTGGTTTTCTACTACTCCTTCCCATTAACAACCCAAGGGTGAATTCCTATCAGGGAGCCCATATCTATTTTCCTTTCAATCCTGAAACTGCCATAGTACAGTGGGGTTGTACTGCCTGCCCCCCATAACAGTTGATGTTTTCTGAACTGAATTCTAGTATTTAGAAGATGTAACCACCTCTGATTAAACAGATTAGCGTACATCACTGGTTTTAAGTCAGTTTTTCTTTGCTTCTTTTTCTGCAAGAGGCCAGGAAATCTGGATGTGATATGGCTCTAGTTCTTCTGGAGTGACAAAGTCTGGAGCATTGCCCATCAGATCTCGTCCCCTGAAGGATTTAGGAAAAGCAATGACATCTCGGATACTTGGAGCATCAACAATGAGAGAGATCAGCCTGTCAAGTCCTGGAAGGAGAAAACAAATTGGTAAACTACTTGAGTTATGGCCCTATATTACTTCCTCTGATTCAGAAAAGTCGGAAAGATGGAGTAGATAATATTACTGAGCTTGAAGAATAAAAGTGAAGTAAGTAAGGGGAAAAAAAAAAATTAATCTCAACCAGTAGCAGAGAAACAGACCTGCCTAAAGAGCAGAAATGCCTAGCAAAATAAAGCCTTTCAAAATTACAGAAAGTTCTGCAAGGACTGCAGACCAAGGACTGCAAGACAGAGACAGTGCCTTTGCAAAGGCAGCATAACAAAACCAGAGCAGCTAAGTGGCAGGAACACTGTCAGGGCTCTATTTCACTGCTCGAAGTTCCTGGTCAACCAGTTCTGAAGGATTACAACAACTAGGAGGAATTCAAAAAGACTGAGTCTCTGGGTGACTGAATGGAGGGAAATCACACTGGAAGATCATAGGTTAAAATACTACCTTTGCTTTTTTGTACCTTTTGTTTGTTTGTTTTGGGGGGTTGTCTGGTTGGTTCCAAACCCCCCCCCCCTTTTTTAAAACCAAACTTGCAGGGTTCTAGGAGAAAAAAAATTCTGACATTATCTGAATTAATGAGCAAAACAGAGAAGAAGGGAAGTAAGACTGAAGCAGAGGGCAAGGACTGAAGCAGAGGGCAAGGTTGTGGCAGTGACCGAGGGTTGTGTGAAACAAAGTACCATGCTGGCCCAGGCCTCTAGGCATGCAGTACAGGGATCCTGTTCTGGCTGCACAGGAATAAGAATTCAAGATTACCTAATCTTAATGAATACACCGTTCATAGAACAGCAAATAAGGATCATCCTTAGAGCCACCAATATGTGATTTGGTCCTCCCATAAGAACTAAATGACACTGTGATGCTGGGGAGGAACACTGAAACACTCTGCACTTGGTGATGAGACCTCCGTTTCCTTCTGCAAAGCAGCTACAGAGATGGAAGCACTGTGTAAGCCCACACAGTGTAATCATGTTGGTGTGCCAAACAGCAACACCAGAACAGTCATCTTTATCAGGAGACAAGGCTTTTGCTAACAAGCATGAGGCTTGCTCCTGGGATCTAATATGCCCAAAAGTGTCACAAGACACTTGGCATCTGGAGAGCTCCAGAGCACTTACCTAAAGCGATTCCTCCATGAGGTGGCGCTCCAAACTCCAAAGCCTCAAGCAGATGGGACAGCACCTCAGAATCCTCCTGCAAAATTACATAAAAAGTGTCACTGAACAAGCAATGCCCTTTCTACTAGGAATGTAAGATGAAGGTATGATGATGTCATCCATCACTCAGGGCTAGGAGTTATGTTTCCTTATCTGAGAAGTGCACAAGCATTTCTTTCATAATTTGAAATAGGTGTTTAAATTAATTAGTCCTTTGAATCTCCTAGAGAATGTTAGAGACATCTGTAGGTGTTACCTTCAGCACTTTCTCCAGCACAAAACGCTGTTGTTCTGCACAATGAATTCTGATGGAGCCACCTCCAACTTCATTGCCATTCAGCACAAGGTCATAGTGCTGGCTACGAACCTGCAGAAAGAGAAGAACAAGCACCTTGGATGCAGCTGTGCCCCAGCCTTACTAACAACAACCTGCACACAGACAGCAAAGACACTGGGAATGAAGCCATGACATACTACAACACCACTCTCTCTATAGTACCTTGCAGTTCAGATACCAGTCCTATTGGGAGGCATGGACTGCTGCTAACAGGTGTGGGAGATCCCTTTGCAAAGCTGATCAAAACCTGAAGCAGCATGGGATGAGTCAGAATATAAGACTCTTCACCTTAAGCAACTGTTTCTTAAAACCCCTTTTGTCAGGGGCATTCACGGATGTTTGCCACTCAGAGAAATCTGGAAGCCATCTCTTCCAGACATGTACAATACGCAGTTAGTTCCATGAAACAGCATCTCTTTTTACACTAAAACCAGTTGTTACTTGCCTAGGTTTCCACAACACAGAGCTGTTAAAGAGCCAGCATGGCAGGCATGACGTTAGTTACCTTTGCAGGATCAGAATAGAGGAGGTTGGTATCTGAAGGATGAGGGGCAGTGAAGGGGTGATGAGCAGATTCCAGTTCAGTGGGATTCTCTTCCTTTGGGAGGAAAAGGGGGAAATCCACCACCCACAGAAAGTGAAAAGCTGTAGGATCACGGAGTACCAGCCCAGCTGCCTCAAGGAGGTCAGCACTCTCCAACCGTAGGCTTCCTAATGCAGAGCACTGCAAAAGAGAAGGGAGAGACTGAGGGAAATTCTGCTCTCAGGAAAGTTGCTCAAACACCAACCAGGAAAAGAGCATTTCATAAAGGTAGTATCACAAACAGCATCAGTTGTAATGCATTGTTGCCTTAAACACTTTTGCTTTGTATCCTGAAAGATATCACCTTCCTGCGGAGGCAGTAGCAGCTCCAGGGTTTGAAAAAGACAAAGTAAGGAGCTGGGAAGTCCATTTTCTGCCAACTGTTCCATCTTCACAGAACTTTCCTAGACTAACCTCAAGCCCTACACAAATATGGATTAATAGGAGGAACACAGGTAAGATCTGCACTTTGCAGACAGAGAAATGAAAGCACTGAAGGAGGATATGACAAAATTTTGGCTATCAAGCCAAGCATGACACCTTGTCATAAACCAATGCTTGGAAGGCAACATCTGCTGGCAAGAATACAGAGAACAGTAGGGACAGAATCTCCCATCACTGCTGCTAATGAGCAGCTGTGCTTCACTCTTGTCATCTGCTTATGGGAGACAAAATTACCTAGTTGACCTTGTTTTGATGCTTTAAAAATTAAGTTATGGTGAGAGAAAAGGAGGCACTGCTTTGTTCCTGTTTTATATTCCAGCCTTCATTTCAGTTATGAGTTCTTCCCAGAATTTGACCAGGGGAAACGAAAGCAATAGGTACATTTCATGCATTATTTGCTGTTGCTATAGCTTCAGCTCCAGAGAAACCCAAGAATTAGATGATGACCTATTTTAATAATAAGAGTTAAACTACGGTCAAATAACATCAAGCGATCATCAGCAACATTAAACTCACACAGCCACCCAAGAAATGCTTCCTACCACTTGCTTGTGTTCACCAGCTGCCAGCAGTACCACATCATCCACTTGCATGTTCAGCACTTGGATAAGCTCTGACTGCTGCGTCTCACCAAGAAACTTCGTAAGCAGAGACTTCAAGCTTCCATCAGGCCTGCAGATAATTTCCATGATTTCCTAAAGAAACATAAAAGTATGTTCAGTCCAGTGCTGCCCTCTCTTGTCTTGAGAGATCACATGCTCAGGCACCAACTCAGCTACTAAAAACCGAAATCCCCCTTACTCTGCCTGCAAGTGCCTTTATACATACGTTGTCATTCACTGTTTCCAATGCCTCAGCAGTGTTTGTCTCACCTGGTTAAACTGGGATTTTGCAGACCCCTTTAATAACTCCAGGTCTTTATTTTTAAGATATCTCTAGGGAAAGAGCAAGAGAAGACACATTAAACTTCAATAAAATCTATGGAAAGCCTGACTAGGATTCAAATCTACTGACTGAGCCGTTTCCAAACTTCAAGTTCTTTTGTTTCTAGTAGAAGTTCTTATGAGGGCTGTGGAACAGGACAGGGCCCACAGCACTAGCCTGCGGCTAGGTATCTTCTCCAAGGGCTGCTTTCAGGAAGAGGCCCCTCTAGGTTATGCATCTGGCTGTAGTTTTTCTCCCCGCTCACAAATCAGATGTAGCTGGTCAGCAGAGTCAGATCATGCCAACTAACTGCCTCCAGCATGCAGAAACAAGGTTATAACACCACACTGTTGATGGGGAAGGCAGAGCTCAATTTGGAGGAACAGAGGGAAACCAACTGGGCTGACTCTCACATGCAAAGAAATGCAGTAGATGAGGATCTGCGTCAAGATCTTGATATTTTTTCAGCTATTCTAATGTTTAGAGAGGCTCCAGATTCCACTTTTGTTTTGCTCAAACACGCCCTTTAGTGCCCTCTCGTGGTAAGCCAGTAACTTGCACTTTGTGTCAAAACTAAAGGAATCCCAAGAGAAACCATGCTCAGAAAGTCTTGTTCCCCAATAAAAAACTCAGTGTTTAGTGGATGTTTTTTCCATACTGTCTGATCTGCAAAGATGCCCACAGCCAGAATTAAATCTGCTTGCCTGCCAAAATACATGGCTGTATCAAATAATCTTCTACATCTATTGTTAGCCTTGGATTTGGTCCATGACATTCTCGTTACCAGACATGAGTTGTGCCCACAAATGCAGCAGAAGCAACCAGGAGAAGGGCATGTAACCACCTGACCTTTCTCTCATTAGCCCAGAACAGAGCTGTGCCATACCTGGCTCTATTTCAATCTCTTGCCAAAGGGCACAATTTATTATTGCACATCAGAAGCTATCCTTGACAGAAGCAAGCTGAAGCCCTAAGAGGCTTCCCTGTCCTCAAGGGATCTTGCAGCTCTGTTCTCTTCCTCCCCTTCCTAAGGGTAATATATTCTTCCTGTTACCTGATCTTCTTCATTCTAACACCACTCAGCCCAATCTGACATCAATTACAACCAATCCCAAGTGCCCTGAAGGGCACCACTCCCCCAGTAATAGCAAGAAACATTTCCATACCAACAAAGTAATTCAAATTAACATCTTTATTACACATAAACCTTAAGCAGTATGTAAAAGCATCACTTACCACTCCCTGAGGGATACAAATGGCTTTGACAGCGCCATGTGGGCAACTGAGTGCATTCTGCACAAACTGAATGTCCGATCTTCGTAAAAAATCACTGATATCCACTATCTGAGAAAGGAGAAAGCAGTTGTGGTAGGAACATGAAGCAAAAACACCTGTGTCTTAAGGCCTTCAACACCATCCCCTGGGACTTCCATTTCTTTGCTCAGAGAAATCAAATGTTTCACAGAAAAATGAATGGGGTCAAGCTAGAATAACCATTAGGAGGCTGAGCAGTGACAAAACAGAAACGCAAGACAGCCAGGAAAACCCAAGGTTGAGATAGTGACATCCTACCACAAAGCAAAGAGAGCTGTACACTGAAAGAGAAACTCCCAAAATTAACTCCTGGGAAAAATATAAGATGCTTTCTTGCTTTTCAGCATTGTTCCTCTTAATACATTTGTCAATATTCTTATTTCATACTTTCATACTCTTATTTCATATACAAACAGTGTATGCACACAACCACAGTCTGTTACCTTGAAAATATCTTCAGGCCATGAAAAGGCTGGAGAAGCCTGTCTCATGAAGCGTGCTCACCAGAAGTATGCTTTGGAGTGCAGCAGGTAAAAGCACTTAAGGTATCTGTTGATGCCTTATGGGCTTCTGTTCCTAGACAGTCAAGATGCATTGCTTCCTAACACTACATTATCTTTAAAATAAAATTTTCTTAAAACATACCTTTTCCACTGCCAACTAACCAAACCCTCTCTTCTCCAAGAGATGTTTACCTGTACAAAGCAGCAACGATGGGATAGACACCTTGGGGAAGTTATAGCATTAAGAACCCTAACCAATCACATGTTTGTGATCCAAATAATCATTATTAAAATACTAACAGAAAGGAAAAGCTACAAGTTTCCAATGGGCAAACCCTCACCTTCATCCCAAAACGAGTGTCTGGTTTATCAGTCCCATAGTCAGCCAGTGCCGCCTCATATGTCATGGAAGGGAAAGGAGTTGTAATGGACCCTCTTTCCTCAGGCCAGGAATATTGCAGGAGGCCCTCTATCAGTCTCTGGATCCCAGTTTGATCTACAAATGACATCTCTATATCTATCTTAAAACAGAAAACAAAAGGGTGGATTCCACATTAGCCACAGGTGTTGCCTTTGCACTGCTACTTGCAGAAGCTCTTGGCCATAAAGCCAGCATAACAAGAAACAATATACTACATGAAATCATAGTATGACTGCATTAGACTGAGGATGTGCTTACGATCTCCCTACAGCCTGATGACTCAGGCAATCTCTTTAGAGAACTGAATGAGGTAATGATGACAAGGACAGAGGGAGAAACCTTGAATGAACCAGGCTAACTCTGAGGAATGGGATGCCCGACCCAGCAGGACAGGAGATTGCATCATCAAGCACGATCACTGCTGCAACACAATTCCCACACGCACTGCACCTGGGACTGTGCTGTCAGCCAAGGACAGGAACCACTCTGTGTATGTTCCATAACAACTTCAAAGGGCCATGTCTGCGAAACATGCAGCAAACATTGTACCCCCAAGCAGCACAAGAGCTAGCAGAAACTAGGCCTTCAGAAGGGAAAATTGCTACAAGCTGTTTGGGGTGAGGAGGAGGGCAAAAGGCAGCATGAGCTGGTTACCTGAGTGAATTCAGGCTGTCTGTCAGGCCGCGAACCTTCATCTCGGTAGCAGCGAGCAACCTGAAAGTACCTGCAATAGTACTTTTACTTAGATAACAATTTAAAGTACCCTAAATTAAACTGTGGCTATAAAAATAAAAAATGAAAAAAGTCTGTTCCCTTTGCAGCAGATGATCATAGCTCTGGTTGTTCGCATCCCCTCAAAAGCATGAGATTTTGAGTGGAAGCAACTGTTATCAGCAGCTGTATCCATCTCTGACCATACCTCCAGAGGCATGTGGAGGCTGCCTCGTGAGCTGTGTCCCAACAGGGGCATACGCAACCCCTTTCCCACCTTCTGCTCCAAACCCTGACTCTGCTAAGGGCAGTGCAAAACTCACTCATAATCAAGACCTGGCCTTGCATAAACAATTGCCTCCCTATCCTTCAATTTGATTTGGAGGAACAAGCCCAGTTAACAGCTTTGTACTCATGCAGCCTGAGAACATGCTTTCCTTGTCTCAGTCCTGCTCAGCTGCCCAGCCTCATCTCAATTAGTTCTATAGCTTACTCTTGGAGAGGCTTTTATCACACACCAGATTTTCTGCCCTTCAGATCAGGTTTCCATTTAAAACAGTGAAGATTTCAACCTTCAAACAGGATGCCTCCCAGTAAGAGGAAATGTATTATTGCTGGGGGGCAAAGGGCCTTGCCTAGCTGACAAGTCCTCAGTATTTAAGGATCCCCTCTTCAACACAAAACCCTTGGCAATAAGTTTTTTGGGAAATATCTAAAAAGCTCACAGACCAAACCAAGCAAACCCTGGATGGGACGTGCAGAGAACAGGAGCCCAAGAAACTCTTACCTGTCCAGGCCTCCAACCATGAGGAGCTGCTTGAACTGCTGAGGACTCTGTGGCAGAGAGTAGAACTTGCCTGCTTCCCTCGAGGGCACAAGGAATTCTTTTGCTCCCTAGTATCAGAAAGCAAAGCTTACACAATTCAGCAAATAAGTGGCCTCAATTTCTGACAGAGAGCACAGACTAGAAGCACAAGAGGGAAGGACCTATTTTTCCCATTATGAAATCCCACTTGTGAGAAAAATGGCTGTTTGTACATTACACTTAAAAAATAAATCTGTTAACCAACTTGGTCCAAAGTATCCCAAAGGACGATTCTCTACCTTCTGCTCTGAGAGACTAATGCATAACAATACATCATCCAAGACGGGTTTAAATGCAAGAACTTCATGTGTTAGCTGAATCAACAATTCCTGGGCTACAGTGCTCTGTGATTATTTTTGAAATGGAAGAAAGGAATATAAACTCAGAGATTAAAATGCCTTGAGTAGTGCCACTGCAGGAACCTGTTAGTTAAGAGACAAACACTAGGGAAACAGTCCTCAGAGGAAGATTTTTGGTTTTATTATCTGGCTGTCCTAGGACAGGACTTACATTCAACATGCACTCTACGAGACAGAAGCTTCATTCATTTGAAGGCTCAAAATTAAGACACAAAATGTCACCTCTCCCCTTTCACTCCCTCTACTTTTAAAAGGATCCATGTATCATACCAGAAACTTGCACATGAGCTGTTACTCAGCGAGGGAACAGCAGTGCAGGCAGAGTGGCAAGTGACAATAATTCAACCATGGACAGCCTATGCTATCATGGGAGGCTAAAATGCATTACTAACAGAATACATACCCCTGGCGTTCTCTTAAAAAGTGTTGGAGTTTCTACATCCACGAACCCTGAGGAACAAACACACCCTTCAGACACAGAACATGCTGAGAGCAGGGAGAATCAGTATGAGACAGTAGGCTAGAGTAGGGTTAGTGAGCAAAATAGGTAATCAAGCACACCATGCAGCCTCTCCAAAACCTACAGATTTCCCTGCTTCTAAGAATAACTTGGGTAATGACAGATTTAAAGGCTCTGAGCTACTCTGATGTCCTGCCAGAACTGTTGATGACAGAGGACACCATATAGGCTGAAAAACTGTTAATTCTCTATCTATTTTGAACTAGGCTTTGCTTTTCCAAAAAGGACTTCCTGATTTTAAGATAAGCAAGAGCCTTGTACAAAATCCATCCCTTTGACATGCCTCAAGTTGAGCGACCAAAAGAGGGAAACTACCTGCAAGAAGCCTTTTCTCATTTTAAACAACTGGTTTGTCAAGTGACAAGAGATTTCAACACAGTTTCTTCTTTAGGCCTGCCAACGTCCCTCTAGAGACCTCACTGCAGGCAAATATATCCTTACTAAGCGGGACCAGTTTGGAGTAGCAAGTTGATTTGCAATCTCTCCCAGCAATAGGAAACAGAAGAAGGGAGGGCTAAAACATTGTTTGCTGCACATTGTTCTTCAAGCACTTTTCTTACCATGGAGGTTACACAGATATTCCCGTATCCTCATCACTATCTGTGATCTCAGCCGCAGGTTATACTGCAACTGGAAGCTACGCAAGTCCAAGTAGCGATACTGCATCCTTAAGGCCTCTGATTTCTGGAGATACAAGATAATTACGATTAAGACACAAAATTCAAATTGCATGTCTAAAGAAGCTGCTCCTAAAGCCACAGGACAAAAGGGGGAAGCTAAAAAAAGGATGCTGCTCTATTGCCACAATCCACCCACTACCCACAACCTACGCTGATAAACATCAGCCACAGAGTGTTTCCCTGCATGACAATTACTTAAAAAAAAACAAACAAACAAAAAACAAACAAACAAAAAACCAAAAGAGGACAGACATTTACTGTGATAGCTGCCTCAAAGCTCAAGATTTCAGCCCTCCTCACCCTCAGTCCACTGCAGACTGTAGCAATCCTCCTTGAGATTTTTAAGCAGAAGAGAGGTATCATATACAGATGTAAAGGAACAACTACATGGTGATATGTCCTTATTACAGACAAGAAAATTAAACTACTGCGGATGATAGGAATTGTCCAGGACCCATAACACAGAATGAACAGGACTCTGTTCTCCCAATTCTAACACCTACGTTATTGGTCACAGTTTCAATGTCACAGAGAATATCTTCAATTAACAGCAATGACACTCCTATACCATGAAGCCTGCACTAAAACTAACCTCTTATAAGACACTGTACTTAGAGGAAGAAAATCCTCTGGCTGACTAGCTACTTGCCCAGATAAGACTAATCACCCTCGCCTTAAAACACAGCAGTGCATTGGCAGGTTCTATTTCACACTCTCAAAGCTAGCATAGCCTGATTTCTTTCACTCTTCCCTTTACCATCTGTTCTTACAGTGATATTTGAAAACCCTGTGCACTGGAATCATCCAAGTCTTGTTTTCTGCTTAACTCTCATTAGAAATACATCCTCACAGCTAACAAGCAGCACCCCTATTTTAAATACCATCCTTCCCCCAAAGCACAGCTGAGAGAACCAGGAGAAGCTCTCAGATGTTTTGCCATCACCCTGGGCAAACTCCCAATTTATTGAAGAGCCACTACTTCAGTTAAAAAAAAAAAAAAGAAAAACACAGACACCTTGATAAAATCCTTGATTTCAAAAGGTAGCTTCTTGCAGGAGTTTAGGATCTCTGCAGTCTCCACCTTCACTTCAATATCCCCTGTTGGCATTTTCTGGAGCAAAGAGGCAAGAAAAAGTTAGATTCAAAACTTAGGGAAAACAATTGGACAAAGGTATTTCACAGATGGTCGGTGGGAAAAAAAGAAACCCATGTGATTATTCTCCCTGCTTTCTAACACAGTATAACTCAGAGAACTTCTCTCAAGGACAGATTTCTCCTAGATTACCCTTCTGTTCAGAAAAACAGAAGTCACCTCACCAAAGACAGCATGTTCTTTCCCAGTAGCATACTGATCTCTACAAGAAATACAATTACTTTTCCTTTGCTTTCTCCCTGAAGGAGATGCTGAGCAGAGAGGAACAGTCAGGCACAGATCTTTCTAGGGCACATGCATTTGGACAAAATACCAGTTCCATTAGCCACAGTGAAACCACACGGTATACATTTTAGTGTGCACTAGCAGCATCACCATCAGTCCTTAATACAAGTCAAAAAAGGCAACTTGTGAGGAACTTCTCAGAACTTCCAGTTCTGAACACCAGTTCTCAGAACTAGTCTTCTTTTTCTTAGATCCCAAGGGAGAACAGACAGCTTCCCCCACTTAGCACTGTGCCACACCAAAGTTCATTTGAGCCTACAGAACTCTTTCTGTTTACCAGGGAAAAGTATATACAACCTTTCAACAAAATGACAAATTATTAAAAGAAATAAAAGCATGGCTTGAAGCCTGTGTTCTTCACGGACATCTGTAAGTGGTCAGAACAAAAAAAGTTAGTCATAAATCCAGGTTCTCTTCTTAGGCCTGCCAGTGATGGGATACATACAATCCTGACAGATTAATCTATGGCTGATTACAATGACAGCGAGGAATGCATAACATTAAAAAATTATTCAATCTCTGTTTCCTATACAATGAGAACAGCAAAATCTATTCTGAGTGAGAAATAGGTCATCACATGCTGTGGAACTTGTGAAGACAATACTTGTTTTCAAGAAAAACACGTTCTCAACCACACTTTGAAAGTCTGAAAAAGCTAGCCACTATCCTTTCAAAGGGCTGGAATATAATTTAACTTGTGGACACATGTAATGCGCTTTGAGGTTCTCCTAAGTTACATGTCATAGCAGTTATTTCACCTCACATTATCTGACGATAGGCCGTCGCATACTCAGAACCCATGGCAAAGCTATGACGCAAAACCCACCGTATTCCTACTATCCAGTGCTCTTTTCCACAAGGAATAAAACCCCCAAGAGACCCCAATATCCTCACCGGATTCTCCTGTCCTGGGGGCCGAGGGGACACAATTCCAGTCACTCGCACAACAGACTCCACTGGGGCATTAGACAAGAGCTTCTTCACATGGGAATGTGCCTGCAAGAAGACGACAAGGTCTCGCAGAAATTCAAAGAACAGGACAAAGGCAACATGCTCAAGGGCTTCATTTCTTAACAGCCCATTTGAATTCAGGATTGCTCCTCATAAGCCAGAAGAAATTAATGTTTCTGTTGCAGTGCCAGATCAGGGCTCTCATAATGCTTAAATCTACTTGTGAGTCAGAGCACTCAGTCTGACAAAGTACTCCATTCTACTCTCTGTGTCTGCTTGACCCAAGCTACCAAAGGAAAAATAAAAATAACAGACTCATACTTTGGTAGCACTTACCTCATCCTGGGGAATGATGATCTGGGTCAGTCCCTGGAAATCCCTCAAAACCAGAAACAGGCCTTGTCTAATCCACGAAAAACACAAAAAGAAAAACTTTTTTTTCAAGAATTCAGTAGTCTTTTGCTTTTTAAGCCAAAGCACATGGCAACTTGCTACTTTCTGTACTTTGTGACTAATCTGAAAGCACTTCCAAGTAATGTATGTACAGATACTCTTCCCACATCTGAATTTAATCTGAACAATTTTTTTCAGGTTTTGCCCAGTCACAGACAAACAATGTGCAAATAACCAGGAGAGGATTTTAACTTGAACATTAATCCATGTAGAGCAGGGATTCTGAACACATGCAATTTCCTGCTGGGAAACATCGTTCAGATAAACACATATAGATGAGCAATAAAACTAAAGTTCACAGGGACAGAAAAAAAAATAATCCAACCACAAAAAAAGAAGTAGAACATTGATCCCATAAAAAGTTTCACATGAACAATCCACACTTTGAGACCCAGAATCATAAATCTTGATGTCTTCAGCTGCAGTAGAGGGAGCTACCATTGTACCATCAAGAAACTGTCAACTGGAACATGCTCTGGCTGTCTTTAAAAGCAAGAGCACAACGATGGCATTGCAATAATCCTAACTGTTTCTTGGAACTCCACTCACAACTGTTCAAAGATGAGATGCTCAGGACCTTCTAAAAGAAAAATCCATGCAGACCATCGCTCCTGAACAATGCTGGATAAAACCAGCCTCTCAGGACTGTAAAATGCAAAAAGGCAACTTTTGATACAAGTTAATTTCATCAAAGTCACAGGACCCATCTCCATTTTACAAGCACATACTCAGGAACAGAACATTTTGTAGCATCTTTCATGCTACATGGAGACATGCTTTTCATCCTACATTTATAAAACGTTCAACTCTGTTAGGAGTGATTATATCACACCACCTATAGCAAACTATCAGAATTAACATTTCATCCTCTGCTAACCACCTTTTCCTAATATTTCTTTTTTAAGCAAAACTTGCCTATTTCAAATATGCATCGCTAGTTGCTGCACTTGAAAAGACCACCAACACCATTTGCTTAAAATTTAAGGACACTATATAAAAGAAGTTATTCGCTCACAGCTGTTACAATTGCTATAAATATGTTATTACTTTTTTGCTCTCCTAAACAATGAGGGTGATAATATGTAACTGTTTTACAGTGTTGTAATGAGGATCAATTAACATTTGTATGAAACTCTGAAATTTTAAATACTGTTCTAGCATGGTTCTCAACTGCTTTACTCACTTCAGAAGTGACTACTGCAGGATACGAAAAGAAACTTGAAGCATTAAAAAAGTGTTTGAATGCAGGCCCAGACCATACATTGGATCTGGCAAATAAGCATCTCCATTTTCACCTTGGTTTGCATTTACCTTTGATACTGAATCCATCCATAGAGCGTGACCTCTTGTCCCACGTGAGCAGAACGCAGCTCTCCACAAGTGTTGGTCCGAGTGATGAAACTATTGAAGTCTCGAATAGAAATAATAAGTTCTTTTGCAGTTTTTGCAAACAAGCAAGACAAAACAGTTACAGAGGTTACCTCTCCAACACCAACATAATTTAGACATATATAAAGAAGTTACTCCATATATCCTCGATATGACTGCTGTAAGACATTAGGACATAATTACAACATGAAATTATTCTAAATAAGTTTAAGACAAGTTATTTCTATGTCTCAGTCAAACTCTCACACAGAAATCTGAACAGAGTCTTGCTGCAAACTGTTGCCCTGCAAATTTCAGGGGCAAGAGAAGGGAAAGCTGCAGATCAGTCCTGAGGCATGCTGACAATTTCACATTCGAATCTAGAAGATACAGCAGAAAAGGTGCTTAACAAGCCAAGACTGAAACCTACTGACACCTACCATGTGGATGTAAACTGAACAGCTTCCTTCCTGCGACTACCAACAACAGGCCTGAACCATGATTACAGAAGACTTTCCACATACCCCAGTGCGCCTAGAATCATTACGTATTTACAAAATCAGTCACACCATTCACAGAACATGCTAGACATTCAGCTTGAATTTGAAGGATGCTATTACCTAGACATATATACATACAATTACATGAACTAATCTCCCTTGCTACTCTTACCAGAGTCTTCACAATTAAAAAAGTAGAGGGCACAAAGGTTTGTTTTCCAACTATTACATTAGGTATTCAGCTACCCCTGTTGTTTACGGATTATGTGCTACAGAAGAAAGAGGGTCAAAAAGCAAAGTAAAAGCTCAGGAAAAAAAAAAGAAAATTGGACAAATAGGTTTCAATGCACTTTGAATAGCAATACATTGATGAGATGCCAAAAAAATAAAAACATGATTTAGAGAAGACATTTAAAAGAGCAATCTAAGGAAAACAATTTGTCACAAGTGTGCCTTTAATCGGCTGAGCAGACTACCCTGACCTAGGTCCCAGGAAGAAAAAGATAACCAAAACCCAGAGGAGGCAGCGGGAATAAGCCAAACGCTTCTTTCTCACCTGGAGCCACCGG